CTCTCCCCACGAACACACCAAGGCTGCAACTACATATACTGCAACTCACTGAGAACGACCTGAAGACTAGCAGAACAGCTCTTCCACAGCTAAAGATATAAAGAAAAAGCCACATCGAAAAGGGTAGGAGGGGCAGAGATGCAATCAGAAACTAAACCTCCCATGCGGCAACCCACAAGCAAGAGAGATATCACAGGTGTGAAGGTCCTCCTTGAGGAGCAAGGGGCTTAAGCCCCACATTGGGCACCCCTCTTCCTGTCGATCTGCACTGGGAATATGAGCCTCCATAAGTATCTGGATTTAAATCAGCTTAACTCTGGGAGAGTGGAGGGCTATAAGAAACCAATACTCCACTCTTAAAAAGGCCAATCAGTGTACACCAGCACCTACTCAGAGACCCAGCCCAGAGGTAGCAGTTTGAAAAGCGCCTGGACTATATTATGTGATGGAGATTTATTAATTTTAGGGCTTGTGCCACAGGGACAAGGATCTGCAAAACTTTCTCTGGGAATGGAAGTGCTGGCAGGCACTATTTTTCTTGCCCTCCTTCAGCCCAGCTGGCTTGACACTGGTGGGCCCCCATTCGGACACTCTTCCTAGCACCACTCACCCTGCCCTGATGTTCCCCTGCAGAATCATTCTAACCAACCCGACTGCCCTGGCAAGGGCCCTTCCGAAGTGACTCCTGCTCTAGGGAGTCCCACCCACCTGCATGCCCATGACCGTGGACACCGAGCCCCCCAGCCAAGTCACACTGCATCCTAACTCCACCCACCAGCATACTTGAAGCAGCTGCAGCCAGTCCTCTTAGCCAGCCACGTTGGGGCCAGCCCTACCCACCAGTGTACCCACAGCAGTTGCAGCCCAGTCACTATGTGCAGATGACATGATACTATATATAAAAACTCTAAAGACTCCACTAAGAAACTTTAGAACTAATAAATGAATTTAGTAAAGTTGCAGGACACAAAATTAATATACAGAAATCTGTTGCATTTCTATACATTAATAATAAACTAGCAGAGAAATTAAGAAAATCCCATTTACAATTTTATCAAAAAAGAATAAAGTATCTAGGAATAAAGTTAACCCAGGAGGTGAAAGACGTGTACTCTGAAAACTATAAGACACTGATGAAAGAAACCAAAGATGACACAAATAAAGGGAAAGATATACCATGTTCATGGGTTGAAAGAATTAATATTGTTAGAATATCCATACTACTCAAAGCAATCTACAAATACAATGCAATCCCTATCAAAATACCAATAGCATTTTTCACAGAACTAGGACAAATAATCTTAAAATTTGTATGGAACCACAAAAGACCCCAAATACCCAAAGTAATCTTGAGAAAGAACAAAGTTGGAGGGAACACAGTCCCAGATTTCAAACCATACTACAAAGCTACTGTAATCAAAACAGTATGGTACTGGCACACAAATGGACACATAAATCAATGGAACAGAACTGAGAGCCTAGGAAAAAACCCATGTTTATATGGTAACTAATCTATGACAAAGGAAGCAAAAATACACAATGGGGAAAAGACCGTTTCTTCAATAAATAGTGCTGAAAACACAGGACAGCTACATGCAAAAGAATGAAACCACTCTTACACCATATACAAAAATAAACTCAAATTGGTTTAAAGACCTGAAGCTATAAAACTCCTAAAAGAAAACATGGGGAGTAAACTCTTATACCTCAGTCTTAGGAATATATTTTTGGATCTGTCTTGTTAGGCAGGGGCAACAAAAGCAAAAATAAACAACTGAAACTACATCAAACTAAAAAACTTTTGCACAATTAAGGGAACCCATCAACAAAACTAAAAGTCAACCTATTAAATGAGAAAAGATATTTGTAAATGACATATCCATTAAAAGGTTAATATTCGGGGCACCCAGGTGGCTCAGTGGGTTGGGCATCTGCCTTCGGCTCAGGTCACGATCTCAGGTCCTGGGATCGAGCCCCAGGTCAGGCTCCCTGCTCCTCCCCCTTGCTCGTGCTCTCTCTCTCTCAAATAAATAAATAAATCTTTAAAAAAAAAAAAAGGTTAATATCCAAAATATATATAAAAAATAAACCTCACAGCAGAGTGTATAATGCCAAGTGAAGTCAGTCAGTTAGAGAAAAACAAATGCAATATGATTTCACTCATATGTAAAATTTAAGAAATAAAACAAATGACCAAGGGGAAAAAAAGAGAGACAGACGAAGAAACAGACTCTTAACTACAGAGAATAAACTGATGGGTACCACAGGGGAGAAGGGTGGGGGGGATGGGTGAAAGAGAGGATAGGGATTAAAGAGTACACTTATCATGATGAGCACTGAGTAATGTTTAGAATTGATGAATCACTATATTATACACCTGAAACCAAATATTAACACTGTATGTTAACTATGTTAAAGTAAAAAACTTAATAAAATTTTTAAAAAATAAAAAAATAAATTTAATAAAAAGAACTCATAGCACTCAACCCCAAAAAAGAAAGAAAGAAAGAAAGAAAAGCAAAGAAAGGAAACAGCCAAACAATCCAATTAAAAAATGAGCAGAGGGCCTGAATAGACATTTTTCCAGAGAAGATATAAACATGACCAACAGGCACATGAAAAGATGCTCATTACCATTCATCATTAGGGAAATGCAAATTAAAACCTCAATGATATATCACCTCATGCTTGTCAGAATGGCTATTTAAAAAAAAACATGAAATAACAAGTGTTGGTGAGAATGTGGGACAAAGGGAACCCTTGTATACTATTAGTGGGAATGTAAATTGGTGCAGCCACTATGAAAAACAGTATGGCAGTCCCTCTAAAAATTAAAAATAGATCTATATGATCCATTAATTCTATTTCTGGGTATTTATCTGAAAAAAATGAAAACATCAATCTGAAAAGATATATTGCACCCCTGTGTTTATTGTAGCTTTATTTACAATATCCAAGACATGGAAGCAACCTAAGTATCAATCAGTAGATGAATGGATAAAGAAGATGTGACATATATATGTGTGTGTGTGTGTGCGCGCATTTGTCTATATATGATGGAAAATTACTCAACCATAAAAACAAATGAAATCTTGCCATTTGTGACAACATGGATAAGTGAAATAAATCAGAAAAAGGGGCACCTAGCTAGCTCAGTAGGTAGAGCATCTGACACTTGATCTTGGGGCCATGAGTTTGAGCCCCACGTTGGCTGTGGAGATCACATAAATAAATAAATAAATATTTTTTAAAAAGTCAGAGAAAGACAAATGCCGTATGATTTCACTTATATGTGGAATCTAAAAAACAAAACAAATGAACAAAACAGAAACAGACTCATAAACGTAGAGCACAGACTAGACTGGTAGTTGCCAGTGGAGAGGGAACGTAGGGCGATGGGTGAAATAGGCATAGGGGAGTAAGAGGTACAAACTTCCAGTTATAAAATAAATAAGTCACAAGGATGTGGAATATCCCACAACATAGGGAATATAGTTAATATAACAATAATTTTGCATGGTAACAGGCGGTAACTACACTTACTGTGGGAGCATTTTGTAACATATATCAATGTCAAATTACTACATTGTACACCTGAAACTAATAGTCTCTATCAACTATACTTCAATTTAAAAATAATGAATAAAAATAATTTTTTAATTATGTTCAGTTAGCCAACATACAGTACATCATTAGTGTTTGATGTAGCGTTCAACAATTCATTAGTTGTTATAACACCCAGAGCTCATCACAACACGTGCCCTCCTTAATTTTTTTAAAAAGACTATAGCCATTATAGAAAGAAAAAAAGCAGTGTTGCTTTCATAAAGAAGCCCCAAATTTAAAGTCACAAGGCCAGATTCTCTGAATTGCAAGTCGTGATTTTATTTTTTTATTTTTATTTTTTTAAAGATTTTTATTTATTTATTTGACAGAGAGAGACAGAGTGAGAGAGGGAACACAAGCAGGGGGAGTGGGAGAGGGAGAAGCAGGTTCCCCGCGGAGCAGGGAGCCCAATGTGGGGCTCGATGTGGGGCTCGATCCCAGGACCCTGAGATCATGACCTGAGCTGAAGGCAGATGCTTAACGACTGAGCCACCGAGGCACCCCTGCAAGTCGTGATTTTAAATTGAGATACTTTCCCTATAGGCAACTTTATGTAATGTAAATCAGGTACCAATTTATTTATTCAACCCTTGTTAATTATCTTCTTGACCAAACTACCAATAAGTATATTCCCAGCTTTTAAGCACATTAAACTTTTGAAGTATCAGAGTTTTTACTCCCATTTGCAATTCAAAACAGTAGTCTGTTCACTTAGAACATGATTTTTTTTTTTTGGTATTAGAAACCTACAATATATCAAAACTTATGGAATACACTGAGTTGCTGAACCATTCAGAACAAGGAATAATTTTCCATATCCTCAAATTCTGGACCAAAGAAATGATAATGATATCTAAAACAATAAGAAAAAGATAACAATATGACATATATTTATTAATAATACATAAAGAAGGTATTTCCTAATGTGGCCAATGCCTACATTAGCTTTTATCACCTAAATTAAAAATCACTATTGCAGCATTAATTTCAACAAATGAATTTATGTAATTATATAGAATTAAAGCATTTGTAAAAAGCATCACTCACAATGTGAAATAGTATATGTATAATGAAATATTTACTGTGTTGAATATGGATACCTTATGATGATAATTAATCCTAAATCTCAATATCATTTTCCTAGAAACTTAAAGGCCTCTAATTAAGGCCCAAGCTATTCAAAAAGATTTAAGACCTTAGTTAATAATCTGAAAAAAATACAGAGAGAAAAACATAACCTTCAGGTTTTCTAGGTCATTTACATTGTATTTTGTTATGCTATACTTCATTATATTTATAAAAATACATAAGCAGGTGAGTTGCGAGAAATAAAGGATTAATGTTTCAAAAATAATACATAAAAAGTTAATCTACATAATATTACTTATTCTTACCTCTGAACTATAATCATCTGCCGTAGTTGAAATCTCACTTTCTGGCTAAAACAAAAATAAAAACCAATTACATTAAAGCCTTCCCCTCCCCCGCCAAACATTGTACTTCATTAACCCATTACTATTAGTAACATATGATAGAAAATTCATATAAAAATATCACTAAAAAACTAGCAAAATTATTCAAGCATTTAAAAAAAAAAACTTTAAGTATGTGGATTTTATTTTATTCATTTTTTTTAAAAGTAAGCTCTGTGCCCAACATGGGGCTTGAACTCACAACCCTGAGATCAAAAGTCACATGCTCTACCAACTGAGCCAACCATACACCCCTAAACCTATAAAATTTTCACTCTATGAATCACAATAGCTAACTAACACACCTGACATTTATCATAAAGCATTTTTCTAAATATAAATGTATCAAGAGGTACTTTCACACAGGGTCTTATATACATTACAAATCATTTGTAAGACAAGCACCAAATAAGATATCATCCCTCTAATTCTTATGTCTCTTTTAAATAAAAGAAAGTCTTAAAATGTCACTCAAAGAGTTCAATTTCTTCAAAAAGAAAAATCATCAGCGTGCCTGGCTCAGTTGGTAGAACATGAGCTTAGAGATTACTTAAAAAAAAAAAAAGGGTAAAAAAACCCACCAAATCTTGATGCTAGAAAAGTAGTAAGAACTTAAAGAAAAATAACAATGCTCATTGTTTTTTTTTTTTTTTAAAGATTTTATTTATTTATTTGAGAGAGAGAGAGAATGAGAGAGAGCGCATGAGAGGGAGAAGCAGACTCTCTGCCGAGCAGGGAGCCCGATGCGGGACTCGATCCAGGGACTCCAGGATCATGACCTGAGCTGAAGGCAGTCGCTTAACGAACTGAGCCACCCAGGCGCCCAACAATCTTCATTGTTACTAACACCTCTGCAGCTTATAAAACACTTACTAAGACATTCCTGTTTTATTCTTACAACCCTGGGATTTGGGTATGAAGTGAGTGGCTTTTCTGAGCTTCCCTTAGTTTAGAACCACTAGAAAGAGGTTCCCTCAGTTCAGAACCACTAGGAAGTTTCCTCAAGGAGGAAACTTAAATTTTCACTGCTTTCACTGTTCACCCACTCATCTAAGAATCTCAATTTACAAGTGAGAAAAGAGACCTAGATATTTCACCTTTTCATTCAACAAATATGAACCATCACTGTCTCCTTTCCCATCTATACTTAAGGAAATTTTATTCATCACTCAATACCAAGTTCTAAGTCTACCTCCTCTCTGATGTAGTAACTGATGCCAGGAACAGAAAGAAGCTTACCCCTATCCTAAAATTCTGTCATAGGGGTTCCTAACTTATATGACCCTCTTTTTTTTTTTTTTTTAAAGATTTTTTATTTATTTGACAGAAAGAGACAAAGCGAGAGAAGGAACACAAGCAGGGGGAGTGGGAGAGGGAGAAGCAGGCCTCCCGTCGAGCAGGGAGCCCGATGCGGGGCTCGATCCCAAGACCCTGAGATCATGACCTGAGCCGAAGGCAGACGCTCAATGACTGAGCCACCCAGGCGCCCCTATATGACCCTCTTTTAAATCTAAAATACTTTCATGACATAAGTCCTCATGGCTGATTCACTTATGCCTTTTAAACAACTATAGATTAAATGTATATTGTGTACTAAAAACTGTGTTACCAAGGATGAAATGGTGAACAAGACACTCTTTGCACTGGAAATGCTAAAACTCTAGTGAGAAGCCCAAACATTGATTTGTTATGCAGAAAAAGATAACAAATACATCTTCAAACCACGTCAAGCACCAGAGTTGCCATTTTACATCATTTAAAAGATCCAGATTTCAACAAACAATTACAAGATACACAAAGAAAAAGGAAAAGTATGGCCCATATAGAAGAAAAACAACAGTCAGTAGAAATGGTCCCTGAGGAAACACAAATACTGGACTTCATATACAAAGACTTTAAATGACCTATTTTAAATAGAGTCAAATAAGTGAATAAAATTAAATCTAAAATACTGAAGAAAACTATAAGGATACTGCCTTACAAAATAAAGAGCATCACTATAAAAGAACCAAAGAGGGGCACCTGGCAGGCTCAGTTGGTGGAGCATGCGACTCTTGATCGCGAGATTGTGAGTTCAAGCCCCATGTGGGGTGTAGAGATTACTTAAAAAAATAAAATAAAGTTTTTAAAAATAATTTTTTAAAGAAGTAAAATAACTGAAATGAATAATTCATTTCAGGGGGCTTAACAGATCTGTGAAGAATCAGCAAACTTTAATATATAGTTCAATTGAAATTATGCAGTCTGAGGAAAAGATTAAAAAAGAATGAAGAGGGGCGCCTGGGTGGCTCAGTCGGTTAAGCATCTGCCTTTGGCTTAGGTCATGATCCCAGGGTACTGGGATCGAGCCCCGCATTGGGCTTCCTGCTCAGCGGGGAGCCTGCTTCTCCTTCTCCCTCTGCCTGCCACTCTGCCTACTTGTGTTCTCTCTCTGTCAAATAAATAAATATTTTTTTTTAATAAATAAAATCTTTAAAAAAAAAGAATGAAGAAAAATGAACAGAGCATGAGAGATCTGTGCAACAGTATCAAACATACTAACATGCATAATAGGAGACCCAGAGGAGGGGACAGAAAGGAGCAGAAAGAATATCTGACAATACAATGCCCGAAAACTTCCCAAATTGGATGAAAAACACTAATCTACATATCCAAGATGCTCAACAAATTCTAAGTAGGAGAATATCAAAAAGATCCACTCTTAGCTAATCTTTAACATCCCAAACCTTTTGAATAAAGCTCAAATCCTATATATTATCTAAATCTTTCTGTTTCCATATAAATATGTCAGGGTACACTCTAAATTATAATTATTACCTGTCTCACACACCACTCTTTCTCCTAAGCATCCCAGCCTTCTCTACTCGTGGTTTTAGTTGGTAGCTCCAACCCATCCACCATCCCAATCCACTTTTAAATTCTCCCTCATCGCCTTATTCTGGAAAATCACACCATTAAAGAGAAGAAGAAAATCAGCCTTTATTTTGGGCCTTCTATGGGCCAGGTGCAATCTCCTGCCTCTCACCTTTACCATCCTCCCATCCCCAACATTCTGTGATGCTTTTAAAACTAAACTTCCTACAGTTTCCAAGTCATATCATAGCTTCATGTTCTTGTGGATGTTGCTTTTTCATCACAGAGGTTGCCTTGCTACTTCTTTGCTGATAGCTTATGCCGATTTAGCATTCCCCCAAATCATGGTACTCTAGGGTACCATATGCATTTTTGTTACCATAGCTGTAATCAGAATACACAGACTACCTTACATCTGCCTTCCCCACTTGACTTTCCTAAAGGGCAGAGAATGTCATATTTACCCTTGTATCCTTGGTGCTGAATCCTTGATGTATTATATTATAGTTGTACTATAAATGTTTATTGAATTAAGCTCACAAAAACTGCACAGGGTAATAATGAGTGTTGTCATTACAACAACTTTCCACTTAGACTTCTAATTTTCAAAAATCTAGATGAATACTTACTTCAACAGAGAAGACCTCATCACGTTTGATTATTGTGGATTCAGGAGTCACGGCTGTTCCTACCCTCTGAGAACTATTTATGTACATTTCATCACTCTGTGAGTGCTCAATATTCAAAGCATGGTATGTTGACACATCATGTTTACTGCTTGAAGTTTTCCTCTTTTTTTTCTGCTTCTTAGAAGGATTCTGCCCATCAGATTGAGCTTTCCTTTGTCGAAACTGGGCAAGCTACAGAAAAAAAGACATTGTCCTTATCATTAGAGATACTTTTTCTTTACCACCACTATGAAAAAAGCAAGTATCTTTGGAATCATTTTCTTTACAAAATCAAACCATCACTAAATAAAGGACAGTTGTTACAGTCCTTAATATAACTACTGAATTGCAAAAAAATTAGGTACTTCTGAATAAATACTATTCAAATATTAAGAAGAACTGAAAATGTCATGTCTAAAGAAAAAAAATTAGCCCAGAGTTAGGTAGAATAGGGAAAACAGGCGCTCTCACTCACAGCTTGGCAAGAGTGTAATCTCTGGGTGTTAGATTATATAAAAATATAAGAGGTCTAAATGCGTTTACCTTGTGAAATTTCTGGGACTTCTACTGATTTGTACTAAATTTAATTAGTCCATGCAAAAGATTTAGTTACACAAACGATCACTGCAGCCTTGTTTCTAATGGGAAAAAAATTTGAAATAATTTAAATGTCAAACAATAGTGCTTCCTATCCCCTAATCACTTGCATATCATCATCAGGATTTTTGCCATGTCCTAATGCCATCTATACTTATCATTAACTTAACATGTTTTCACTAGTGTACTTATCTAAATTTATTTTAAAAGGAGACTTTCTATCCTGGTATAAATTAAAAGCCAGTATCACTTGTGATTTCCTTAAATAAAATAGTAAACAGAAATGAATGTAATGAAAACTAATACTACATTATCAAAATTTTAGCTAGGTATTACTGCTGAAGGTTATAAGAGAAACAGGCAAGTGTTAAAGGAGTATTAAGGATATATGAGCATCAAACAGACTTTTGGCTTACTGTAAACAGATGGTCTAAAAAAAAACCTGGAAAAGTATTAACTTTCTTATGATACTATTCACTATTATTTATTTATTTTTAAAAAGATTTTATTTATTCATTTGAGACACAGAGATAGAGAGAGAGAGAGAGAGAGAGAGAGAGCGCATGAGCGGGGGAGAGGCAGCGGGAGAGGGAGAAGTAGGCTCCCCGCTGAGCCAGAAGCCTGATGTGGGGCTCCATCCCAGGACCCCAGGATCATGCATGACCTGAGCCGAAGGCAGACGAACAACCATCTGAGCCACCCAGGTGCCCCTATTCACTATTAATTAATACTGGATCAGGCTATCACCTAAAATATCCTGTCACCACCTAAATTAAGAAGTATGCATTACATACTTTGGGTAACACTGGATTAACTCAATTAAAATGTTAATGCAAATAATAATATTAAAGATGTTTATATAAAAAGTATATGTGAAAAAATAATAAAGATGTTTATGACACAGTGGTATATATAAAATAATACTGCAAAAGAATATTTTTTTTTAAGATTATTTATTTATTTGACAGAAAGACACAGCGAGAGAGGGAACACAAGCAGGGAGGGTGTGAGAGGGAGAAGCAGGCTTCCCACTGAGCAGGGAGCCCAATGCAGGGCTCGATCCCAGGACCCTGGGATCATGACCTGAGCCAAAGGCAGACGCTTAACAACTGAGCCACTCAGGCGCCCCAAATCTTTTTTTTTTAATAAAAGGAAAATGGTGTGCATCTCTTTCAACAAAGATAAGCAGGGCTCAGGCCCACAGCCTTCAATAATTCTAACTAGCTTGAATTTTAATAACATTATACACATAGGCATATATAAATTCTGGAAGAATATAACCACAACTTTGATATCTCTCTAGACTGGAGATTTCAGGTATTTTTCCTTATGCTCATCTGAAATTTCCTTTTTTATGCAACACATTTTCTAAATTTTATATGAAGCAACTACTAACCATCAATTCTTAAATTTACTTTGAGCTACTTGATCATTGAGAGAACAACAAAAGCATAAGAATAGCTGTAAGCCCCTTTGGGCCTTAAAAATAGGAAATCTACTAAACAGTCAACAAAACCAAAAGACAACCGACAGAATGGGAGAAGATATTTGCAAATGACATATCAGATAAAAGGCTAGTATCCAAAATCTATAAAGAACTTATCAAACTCAACACCCAAAGAACAAAGAATCCAATCAAGAAATGGGCAGAAGACATGAACAGACATTTCTCCAAAGAAGACATCCAAATGGCCAACAGACACATGAAAAAGTGCTCAACATCGCTCGGCATCAGGGAAATCCAAATCAAAACCTCAATGAGATACCACCTCATACCAGTCAGAATGGCTAAAATTAACAAGTCAGGAAACGACAGATGTTGGCGGGGATGCGGAGAAAGGGGAACCCTCCTACACTGTTGGTGGGAATGCACGCTGGTGCATTCTGGAAAACAGTATGGAGGTTCCTCAAAAAGTTGAAAATAGAGCTACCATACGATCCAGCAATTGTACTACTGGGTATTTACCCCCAAAATACAAATGTAGGAATCCGAAGGGGTATGTGCACCCTGATGTTTATAGCAGCAATGTCCACAATAGCCAAACTGTGGAAAGAGCCAAGATGTCCATCAACAGATGAATGGATAAAGAAGAGGTGGTATATATATACAATGTAATATTATGCAGCCATCAAAAGGAATGAGATCTTGCCATTTGCAACGATGTGGATGGAACTGGAGCATATTATGCTGAGCCAAATAAGTCAAACAGAGAAAGACATGTATCATATGACCTCACTGATATGAGGAATTCTTAATCTCAGGAAACAAACTGAGGGGTGCTGGAGTGGGGGGTGGGGTGGGAGGGATGGGGTGACCGGGTGATAGACACTGGGGAGGGTATGTGCTCTGGTAAGCCCTGTGAATTGTGCAAGACTGTTGAATCACAGATCTGTACCTCTGAAACAAATAATGCAATATATGTTAAGAAAAAAAAAAAAGGAGAAGAAGATAGCAGGAGGGGAAGAATGAAGGGGGGAAATCAGAGGGGTAGACGAACCATGAGAGACTATGGACTCTGAAAAACAAACTGAGGGTTCTAGAGGGGAGGGAGGGTGGGAGGATGGGTTAGCCTGGTGATGGGTATTAAAGAGGGCACGTTCTGCATGGAGCACTGGGTGTTATGCACAAACAATGAATCATGGAACACTACATCTAAAACTAATGATGTAATGTATGGTGATTAACATAAAAATAAAAAATTAAAAAAAAAATAAAAATAAAAAAAGGAAATCTACTACCAGCATATTAATTATATAACTATTAATTAGACCAAGCACAAAGATGGCCAGTAAATTTCTTATGATATGAAGTATTAAAACAATCTTAATGATGTTGCTATCATTAACTATCAAAATATGTGACAAATACCAGAACTTATAGAATAACACACAGCATATTTTATACTTATTTTGTCTGTTGCAGATGAAAAAAAGGATACAGCTATGTAGTAGTGATTACTTAATAAAGACATCTAACTCATAAGTCAGAAATATCTAATCAATCACTGACCTTGTAGAATGTAAAAATATATCACATTAAAAATTTTCCCCAGTTATTTAGCAACTAGCCTGTTATCCTACTTCATGTCTGCTTAAGGAACAGATGCAAGACCAGTTGCCTCTATTTGTACATTATTAAGCTGCTGGAATGCATTTAAACTACTTTGGAGGATACTAAATTCATTCTTAAAAATAAACCAACTGAAACACTATTACATATTATCTGAAAATAGAATCAAAAGTCTAGGCACAGCATTTTAAAAAGATCCCACAGAGAGAGAACACAAAACCAAGAAAAACATTAATAATGACATTCTTGATATTTAAGTTCAACTTCAGAAACTTCTTAAAATTCCATGTTGTCTGTGTTAGAAAATATACCCAGAGAGCAGAGAGTATAAAAACAAAGATGAATATTCTGTTTAAAATTCCAACTTGTAGGGTTATATAATTTATATTTAATATTTATTTTATGTACAAATACATAACAAAGGAGAAAACTAAAACTGTATTTTAAAAAGTCTGATTTTTTAAAAAACACCTCTCAGACAGTAGTATCCATTACTAAATGAATGCAAATGAAAAAGTTATTAATAGATATAGAATAAAAAGTAGAATGGTTTTCGGGGTGCCTGACTGGCTCAGTCAGAGGAGCATGTGTCTCTTGATCTTGGGGTGGTGAGTTTGAGCCCCACTTGGGAATAGAGATTACTTAAAATAAATAAATAAGAATTAAAAAGTAGAATGGTTTTCTGGTAGAATGGTGTAGAATTAAAAGTAGAATGGTATTTAGAACAAATCATTTCTAAGAACATAAAATTACCAAGACATTGTTTTAGGCTTTTTACTGATTATACAAAGTCATACTATTTTTTCAGAACAATTAACCAGAAGGTAGACAGCATGAGGGTAAAGACTTTTGTTATGTTCACTGCTATATATTCAAAGTCTGGAACAATACTAAAAAAATACATGTTGAGGGGCGCCTGCGTGGCTCAGTTGGTTAGGCGTCTGCCTTTAGCTGAGGTCATGGTCTCGGGGTCCTGGGGTCGAGCCCCGCATCAGGCTCCCAGCTCGGCAGGGAGCCTGCTTCTCCCTCTCCCTCTGCCCCCACTCGTGCTTTCTCTCTCTCAAATAAGTAAATAAAATCTTTTTTTTAAAAAAATACATGTTAAGTGAAAAAAAGATAACTTATCTTTTTACAGAAAAGTTACCACTAAAAAAAATTATTTTAAGCACTATTTCATAGAACCAGACAATTCAGATGATATAACAGGCATATCTAATTCTATTATCTAGAAAAGTTCCATGGTCTTAGAATTAAAATCAGCAATTAAATGAATCAAAACACAAAATAATCCCTCTTACCATCTCTTCCTCCATCAGGCAAAACAAAACAAAATTAATTCTCAAAAAGAATGCCCCACAATAGCTTTTTAGCAAGAGTTCTGTTTCATAAAAATGTATACAGAACTATACAACTCAGCACCAAAAAAACCAATCTGACTAAAAAATGAACAGAGGTTCTGAATAGACGTTTCTCAAAGAAGACATATAGATGGCTAACAGATGCATAAAAAGCTACTCAACATCACTCATCATCAGGGAAATGCAAATCAAAACCACAGTGAGATATCACTTTACTCCTTCAGAATGGCTAAAATCAAAATCACAAGAAATAACAAGTGTTGCTAAGGATGTGGAGAAAATGGAAACCCTATGCATGGCTGCTGGGAATGCATATTGATGCAGCCACTGTGGGAAACAGTATGGAGATTCCTCAAAAAATTGAAAATAGAATTACCATTTGATCCAGTAGTTCCACTACCAGGTATTTACCCAAAGAAAATGAAAACACTAATTTAAAAAATATATACACCCCCATGTTTACTGCAGCATTATTTACTATAGCTAAGATATGGAAGCAACCTAACAGTTCACTGATAGACAAATGGATAAGGAAGATGTGGTACAATATACAATGCAATATTACACAGCCATAAAAAATGAGATGGCGCCAGTGGCTTAGTTAGGTGGGCAT